AACGCTTCCAAGAGATTATTTATAGAGGAAGACAGTTTACTCTGAAGAATTCCCATCACCCACATCATTAATATTTTAGAGCTCATTAAATAAGGAATATGAGGAATATGCGCACAAGCAGGAATGCTACACTCTTTCCTCGATTAGGGTCAGTCCCGGGGGGTCTACATTGTGGGTGAGAAAGCCTTAACACCCACCCCATTGGGGAAGGAAGTAACTTAAGTCCTTTGAATAGAATTCCAAAATGTATACCAAATTCCAGCTTGCAATAAATAGAATTAAAAATGAGAATCTTAAAAATGATTTTCATATTAGAGTTACATAGTTGTTAACTACATAGAAAAATACTTTGAGCTGATATTCGAAAAGAGAATTTGTGTCAAGATATGATGGCGTTTTCTCCCTTTAGAGAGCAAAGGAAAAAGATTAAGTTCCGTTGGAGGGAGGCAAGTGTTTAAGGCTACATGGGATGTAGTGGTTTAGCTATGTTTTGAAATAGATAGCAACTTAAAGGTTTCTTGTTGGGGAGAAAAATTGAGATACCACATTTTTATTAGGTATTGATATCACCTTTTTCAGTTCATTGATTAATGCTTGAGGTTTTATTATATAGCTGGGGGAGATTACCATCTTGACCTGAGATTTACATGTGTAATTCTCATTAATGATAATGGAAGTTACCCTTGCACACTTACTAACATTGAGACGTGGATATATTTTCTGTATCTCTGGGTCTCTGGGATATTGTTGGTGCTTGCTACGCACTGTTAGTTCCACGAAATGTCTTGTTTTGTTTTGCTGTATCTGGAAATATCAACCAATGTTAGCAGCATAAAAATTCCACAAAGAAGAGGATTCTAACACATGAGCTTTAATTACATCAGAGATGCTACTGAGTCCAGTGACTGGCCATTAAAATAACTCGTGTTTTTTCTCATTTATCCCTCTTTATTTGCTGGATCGCCCAAAGAGCCTTTGTTCTGTAAAGTAAACCCAGCCCCTTCTTGTGGATTGTTTCTCAGGAACCAGTTACGGGAATGCGTGTTTGTATGAAGGTATGTGTAAAGAGTACTGTGCTGGATTAGTACCTCACCAGTGTTTTCATTGTCTCTTACAGCCAGTCAACCAGGGTCGTCACTATCAGAAGGAAATGAATCCACCCTCTCCTTCTAACCCCCGGTAAGAACCATTAATTGTATAAATGGTTTAAAAAAAAAATAGGTGAGTTAGAAGATTCATTGTGCATTTTTCTTGATTTCATGAGCTTGTTTCCCAAACCTTCTAAAGAGCTTCCAAAGTTTTTTCCTCTGAAGTCTTAGTTCAGGCTCCTCTTCTCATTCAGACTGTGGTGTAGTCGTCAAGGGGCACGTTGTTAGTTGCCGTCCAGTCAATTCCAATTCATGGACTCATGGCAACCCCATGTGTGCAGAATAGAACTGTGCTGCATAGGGTTTTCAAGGCTGTGAC